TGAATTTGATCAAGATTATCGGTGAAAGAGCTTAGATCAGAGTAAGAAGAGATGGGTTGGCACAACACGACATCATCTCCGTATTTCAAAATACGTGCGGGAGAAACACAGAGAATATCACAAATATAAGTGGCAAATACGTATGGGGATAGCACCGCTCCTTGGACCCGGGAGCTGTTGACTGAGGGTTTCAATGTGGCCTTCCCCAACCTAGTGGTTTGTACCCTATCGGTAAAACAATTGGATAGCGAAGCTAACAACTGCGTGGGGCATTCAAACGATTCCAGGTTTTGTAACAACTTAGATCGAGGGATGGAATCAAATGCAGAAGAGTAGTCGAGAAAAACACACCGAACAGAATTAACAGAGCTGTTCAAAGGTACAACAATACACCGATTTGCTACTGAGAGTTTGAAATTTCATGTTATCATTCATTGTGTATGACAGAGCATTATCGATCGCCAATGCGATCGAGAATCCTTGTTCTGTCAGTTACGTGGAATGCAAGAGAACAAGAATTGTTACATTTTATCGCCTATCAGTCTGCCATCAGCTACTGCGGATTTAAGTTGTTTCAAAATATATCCGATCACGGCTGATAGCTCTTCGTTTCTCTGGTTAACTGGTCAACTGAATTCACCAAGATTGATCGCTTTGTGGGAACCGAACTTGAACGGACTTGATTCATTACCAAGCACTGCACTAAAGCATACCAGTTTGGATCTCAAATAACCGGCAACTACAAGTGAATCAAAGCTTAAACGACTTAACTACCCTCGTCACATCCCTCCCTCCAGCAATTTAATAATGATTCCGTAATCTTCAGCACAACGGGAACTTACCACATCAGACTGCAGTCAAAGCCAACCAGCATCCACTTGTTCGGATTGATATTCATGGACCAGACATGCTATTACAAGACGGTGAAAAAAATAAAACATGGAACAAAAATTGTCAGTATTGAGTTGTGGTGAAATGCAGCGAGTGTTTTTGTGTAAACCACCAAGTGAAAAAAATTGGTTTCCGCTTGGGGTGTTGATTTCAGACTGGAAAGAGGTACATGCTACATTGACCGCATTGCGGAAGAAAGCACTGTGGTCACCGGAAGATCGACAGTGGTAAGATCATCAGTTTCTCGGTTCTGTTTGTCGAATGCCCGTGTGATTTCCGTCTTGAGAATAAAGGCAGTTAAATTGTACCGTTTACTCACAATAATGATTACATCCATCTATTCACGCTGGGAATCAAGGCCAACAAGCAGCTGCCTGTCAATGTTTATTAACAAATACGGGATTCGAAAGTAAAAACCACGAATGAAACAATTAAGCAAGCGTGGACTTGTCCCGCAGGTGGTCCCAAGTTGATTGGGTGTTTGGTTAGACTGGGATACCCACTGTGTAAGTTTCACTGACCAATACACAATGGTTTACACTGTGTGGGTGTGCATATCGGAAATGTCACTTGCGTAAGGGAGGCAACCAGAAGCCTGATGTTACCGATCCGCTGTAAGTGAAAGCTAACTTCACATGCTGCGGTCCAATAAAGTGTCCCAGATTTGGGAATATTTACGCCTGTCTCCCTCGCTCTCTACAATGAACAAAATTGTGGGCTCCCATGCGGAGCTTTTGGGATAATATTGATGGAGAATCGGACTTTAATCTCCATGTTTTGCATATGTCGTCTGCAGTTGGCAGTTGTTGAGTGATCTTTCCCCTCCAAAAATAGGTGCACATGTCATCTGCACACTTGTGTATACCACCAAACCTGTACATGTGCGCGTGCGTTTCATGATAAGATGACGTTGAGTTGCTGGTGGGATTCAATTTACAACGGGTAACCTGTCGACGACAGATGTGTGTGACCGTATTGGTCAGAGTGTTAGCAATATGCGAGACATGGGAGGATCTGTCCTGTATTTATCAGAGAGAGATAGAGAGCGACAGAGAACACTTCAAAAAGAACGAACCAATAACTCGGCAATCTGGACAATTATTTTTATGGCACACGCTCAGTAATCAAAGAATGTGCACGAAAGTCAATGTAGGGGCTGTACTCATTTCGATTATTCTCTGGACAACGAAAAAGGTTTCAGTAAAACAAATTGACAGGCCAGTTTCGGAACTTGTAATCACTTCGTGGTGTAAAACCTGTTAACCCACATTTGACTATTTGCGTAATATTGAACGTTTTAATTCATGGAATAGTTGTTTTAAATTTTAGCTCGCAGGTGTGCTGTACATCACCCCACCGTCCCTAGAAGGGCGGAGTCCTCATAGCCCAAACACACTCAGATATTGTTCTTGCGGGTTTCCATGGCTTATCTCTCCCGGTGGGAGTAGACAAAGATTCCCCGCTGTCCAAAATAAGAATGACTTTTCTGTTGTGCGCCCAGATGAATTGTATTGAATGCGCCAGTTTTTCGACTGGACGGACGCGAGTTAACAATTAATTGGAGTTTCCACGACAAGGCAAATTGGAGTATGCATGATAGATAGCCAAACGCATGATTTGGGGCTTGTTTTGTTGCAATTTTGAGGACCGCGCTATTGAAAATATGTAGAATATTCATTTTTGGATTGAATTAGATAATGACTAAGTTGTTCTTGTCATTGAGAACATAAATCCTCGAGTATACAAATCCGCAGTCGATCGACTTTCAGGAAGAGGGCCGTGGTCAGACAAACAATGCCTGGGGAAATGCAGATAGGGAAAAGATGGACGATGTTGGGGCGATTTGAATTCACGACTTCCAGTTATGCGTAATAGGTCAGTTGGAGAGACCCGATATGAAAAGAAGACCAGAATGAACCATTCTCAAACGCGTAACGAGAACTCATCCCTTTTTTTGTCACAATGACCTCATTTGCAACACCGGGAATAACTTATTTGGTAAGCTCTTAAGGAAACACTCCATAGAAGAATCAATACTACGATTTGATGTTCAAATCAATAATCAAAACAAATGAGGAAATAAGTTTCCCGGACAAAAGATTACCGGATACGCATGCCTGACGAACGGCAAGAACCGTGAAACCGGTCGTGTGCTTTCAGGGAAATTTTGTTCATTCACTCATATACCACTTATTTTAAAACTCATCCCCATGCCTCCTAGTTNATAGGGTACAAGAGGAAAAATATCGCAGTTGGATCACTTTGTCAATCGACGTGTTGCTGAAAGTTGTACTGGCCGGATTCGACCAATTTCACAATTGACTTCGGGTGGAGGACTGGATAAGATTTGCAGCTAGGATGTATAACAAATAGTCCCGCTTGTCCGCTATAATGTGGAAGCAACTCTGGCCAGATTTATTTCGGTAAGTGGACGTGGGGCG